ATTAATTGTAGTTGGCCAAAAAAAAACAGGTGAATTGTAGTTTGCAAATTCTTTTTATATTTTTTATTCTTCCCATTATTTACCTGGGTTTTATATTGCACAAAATATAAAATAAAACCCATATTGAAAAAGGTTGTGGGACAGATGAACTGATGTGCCTGCCAATCCTGGTACTAATATTATTTTGAGGATCGCATGGCCGTGGGTGGCACATTGTTTCAGAAGGAAGGGAAAGGTCATAGTCTTATCTTCTTAACCTTGTATATTACTTCTGGTGATGTCAAGACGTAAACCCATTTTTATGAATTTTTTTACACTTTTCGGGCGAGACGTAAATTTACATCATCAATATATTCCGGCCCATCAGAGCTCTAAATTTAATTTTCAGATGTATGATAGTTTGGAAATGCTCAGAAATTACTCATAACTGCCTGTACTTTGTTGTCTCCTGCCTAACTGGCTAAACTACGAAAGAGCCTAATACCAACTCCCAAATTAATTAAACAGTCCAGGCCTCTGTCTGTGTGTGGTGTTGGGTAAATTCATTCATTTTTATCCATATTTTCCAATTAGAGCATTCACAATGGGCTTTCTAAACCACCTCCTTAGTCAAATTTTCGGGAGGAATTGGAAAAATACAACTTCAACCATGTTCCCTATCCACCTCCTAAAATAAGGAGACCTCTAGGAGCTCCTAAATTTGTGGAGAGAGAAAGGACTCCTAATGGCTCCCTATAATTTAATACTATTTTATTTAATGAGTATTTCAAATCTTTAATTAATACTAACTATTTTTTATATTAATTTTTAATAGAAATGGACCAATTACAAAAGAGTTATAGCATTTATGACTCCCTAAACTAGAGAACATGATTGGAGTTTAAATTTTATAGAGAGCTCCTAAAATAAGCATGATTGTGGATGCTCTCAAGAGGCATGATTAATGGGTTCTTACAAAAATTGGGAAAGCATGATCCATAAAAGACTGAGAAAATAATTCTTATAGATTTATATGCTGGAATTTGGGTATTCCCTGGAAACAACACAAGTTTGTTGGAGATGGTGGCTGAGTTCTGTCGTCGGAGGTGATGGAAAGACAGATGAAGGAGTAAAAGACGCTCTGATTTAATTTTATTTAATGTTAATTTTTCTTAATTTTAGTTATCAAAACATTAATGTAGGATAAGGGTAAAATAGAAAAGAAAAGGAATAAAAGAATATAAAATTAATTAAAAATTATTAAAAAGCAAAATAGAGATAAAAGAGAAGTGAGAAAATCTTTTTTATTTTATTTTTAAGTTTTCATCTTGTGAAAATCGTTTCTACACTATGTGCTCGTTTGGGACTGCTTATTTAGAAAGCACTTCTGCTTATAAGCGCTTTTATTATAAAGTCATTGAAAATTTCGTAAAAAATGGAAATGCTTCATGGAAAAGCACTTGGGAGTGCTTCCTAAAGAAACATATGGCAGTGCTTCTCAAGAAAGCGCATCTATGGCCCAGAAGCACTTCTAAAATTTTCTGTCAAACCTTGAGCGTTTTGTGCTTTTAGCCCTTCCAGAAGCACTCCCAAACGAATCCTAAAAAGCGCGTTTCTAACTGCGCCACTCTAAAACCCTGCCCCATCGCTCAGCCATTCTTCTGTTTCAGCAGCGCCGCAAAACCCTCTCCAATGCTTAGCTGCAAAACCTTGTTGTCCAGAAGGATCAAAACCATAAAGAAAAATAAGAATAAGAAAAGCAAAAACAGCAAAAGAATCAACAGTTTTTCTACAAAACAAAACCCCATTTCCGAAAAATACCAGCAAGAAGAAGATATAGAGGAAGAAGAAGATGGTGATGATGTTGAGGAAGGTTTTAATCTCAAAGCCTCGGCCCCATCACAATCACATGGGGTTCAACCACTGGGCAATCTCTACCTCAGCCCAGGCTCTGTCAACTCAAGGAACACTGGCTTAGGTAATCTCCAAACCCTAACAGATGAGCTTGTTCTTGAGGTTTTGGGGTTTTTGGGTGGGGCCCATTTGGGGGTTTTGGCCTCTGTGAGCAAATCTTTCTATGTCTTTGCAAACCATGAGCCCCTTTGGAGGAATCTTGTGTTGGATAATCTAAAGGGTAGACTTTTGTATAATGGCTCTTGGAAATCTACTTACATTGCTGCTCATTACCCTTCATTTGATGTGTCTAATATCTGTGTTTCGGGTTTGAGAGTGAGAGACTTTTATTCTGACTATCTCTTTCAGAGTTGGCTCTGTGCCAATCTCGAAATGAAACCTGAATGGCTTCAAAGAGATAATATAATCCGAAGAAGGGGCATTTCGGTTGAGGAATTCATTTCTGATTTTGAGGAACCAAATAAGCCGGTGCTGTTGGAAGGGTGTATGGATAATTGGGTTGCATTGGAGAAGTGGGATAGAGATTATTTGGTTCAGGTGTGTGGTGATGTAGAATTTTCGGTTGGGCCAGTGGAGATGAAACTTGGGGAGTATTTTAGGTATGCTGATCAGGCCAGGGAAGAGAGGCCACTGTATCTATTTGACCCAAAATTTGGAGAAAAGGTTGCAATATTGGGTTCAGAGTATGAAGTTCCAGTCTATTTTAGGGAGGACTTATTTGGTGTGCTGGGAAGTGAGAGGCCAGATTACAGATGGATTATAATTGGACCAGCTGGATCAGGTTCCTCGTTCCACATTGATCCTAATTCGACTTCAGCTTGGAATGCGGTGATCAAGGGGTCAAAGAAGTGGGTATTGTTTCCTCCTGATGTGGTTCCTCCAGGGGTGCATCCCAGTCCAGATGGTGCTGAGGTGGCATGTCCTGTTTCAATAATTGAATGGTTCATGAACTTTTATGGTGCAACAAAGACTTGGAAAAGGAAGCCTATCGAGTGCATTTGTAAGGCAGGGGAGGTGATTTTTGTACCTCAGGGATGGTGGCATTTGGTGATCAACTTGGAGGAATCAGTTGCCATTACACAGAATTATGTTAGCAGGTATGGATTTTCTGTAAGTTATGCTTTTTAATCTGAAAATTCTCATATTTTCTGTTGCATTTCTTGTAAGAATCGTAAACTGGTAGTATATAAGTAATCCTATAAGTTGGTCAAATAATGTTAATATGTCCTTCTGAGCCCTATTTTGATGATTAGTGCTACTACGTATTAAAAGAGCAAATTGGAAATAACACTGTTTTCAAAAAGCCATAGGAAAATATGGGCGAATTTAGCTGAAGTTTAGGTGTAATTTCAAGCATCCACTAGTGATATTTGAAAAATCAAAACAGATAGTTTATAGAAAGATGCTTGAAGAAGAGGCATCTTTGGTCAAGTAAAGATTGGATTTCCAAATTGAGAGATGTATCTTTTTAATAAGCCTGAAGGAAAGCCAGTGGATTGTAAGGGTTGTGTATATCCTTAAACTGACATTTCTAAGAAATTAAGAAGTTCAGCTACTTTTGCATTTTTGTTATTTTGTTAAATATTCGCTCAGTGAGGAAGTTGGATGTTAGATAACAGATGTATTGTGTGGTGTAGGTATTTGAATTCAAGGATATGGGAGAAAGTAGAATTTTTTTTATCAAAAAATCAAAACACGTAGTAAGATGTTTACAGCTCTAGATTAAAATGAAACTCCAAAAAGAACCCAAATAGCATAGCATGCAAAAAAAATTAATGTTATATTTCTTCAACTTCATATGGCAGGATGAGGGTGTGCAGTGCATTCCCCATTCATAAAATCCACCAAAGAAAGGTTTACGGTTAAACTTACCTGGTTTTTATGTTTTGCAGGAGAAATTTGTTGAATGTCTTGGATTTTCTTAAGAGGCCAAATGCCAGCACTCTTGTATCTGGAACGAGAGATCGGGTGAATTTGTATGATAAGTTTAAAAGTGCTATTGAGGCTTCTTTTCCTGGTACTATTGGTCATCTTACGCAGAAGGCAGAAGAGAAGAAGGCCCAACAGAAAAAACCCTCCTTCTGGGATTCAGTTACAGATTCGAAGGCCGGTGCTTTCAAGTTCTCTTTCTAGAGGAAAGGGACCACAAGACTGAGCAAACTGGAACTAATCTTGCCTCCAGCAAAATGAGAGGAAAAGAACAACAATTTTGACACTAATTTGATTCATTAGACATTGTTGTATTTCTATCATTTTTTACCATATAATGGCATTAAGTGTTTTTCTTTCTCCTGTTTTAGTGCATCTCATAGGAATGGGGGAAAATTGAGTTCAAACTCGTAGGTAATGAGCTTCTACCAATTTTTTGTTCCCATTTTTCGAGTATTAGGTTCACTAGGCACTTGCCTGGCCCTGACTAGAGTAGGAAACTCATAAACTTGAACAAACTCAGCTCAACATAACGAAAGCCTAATACCTCTATCCTAAGCTGGAACACAAGATTACTCACCATCGAACCATGAATCATAAAGATCGATTCTTGCCCGGCCTTTTCAGGAGCATTTACATATTGGCACTCTCAGGGTTACTCATGTTGAAAGTTTCAACAGGTGTTTTTGTGTAACAGGCTTTTTTTGTTGTCTAACTTTGAGTAACAGGCTACACAAAAGGAGTTGCCCCTCGGCTTTGAACCCCTTCCCTCTCTTACGTAGTTTCAAATAGAAACCTTAACAACATAACCTTGTTCGCAAATTCTTGCATGCAAAAATTGTATACAGCCCCTTAATGCTGGTCACGTGACCAACTTTCTAGTACAAGAAGAATTTCTCTTCAAGGTCATAAAATCTTGTAATGTACTTAGCATCCACTGCAACAACCAAAAACTTTTGAAACTTTTTTTGGACAATCGTCTTGAGTTGAAACTTTTTCAGCACAATTACGATATGGTTGTAAGTTTGTCAATGCATATGAAGTTGCAGCTGCATACCAAGAGCGTAGATTATAGTACATTTTCTGATAATTCTTTGTCAATAAAACCATTAATCATGCAGCATGTATTGCCATATTTCTAGGATTCATGTAGCACAATTTAATTGGTAAAACAAATCTTACAGAAGCAAAACAAGGCCATCCAAAATTAGAATAGACCAAATCAAAGCAGATACAATTAGTTAGGATTAAATAATGAAATCAGCCAGAAACATTGTGAAAACAAATTATTGTATTTCTAGTCAGCTTCTAAAGCCGGAGAAAGAGAACCTGAATAAGAACCATTTGAGAACTTCAAAGTTTCTAATAATCCCATGCGCAAGTAAGGAGTAACAGTGGCTTCTGGAATACCAAATGCATAGGTGCTTTCTTGCAAGTCTTCAGCTGCCGCATCTTGACAATCAGATTTCTCAGGAACTGCTTCTATAGCAACATTCAAACCGATTGAGGTAGGTTCATTCATAAAACTGGAAACAACCAAAATCAAGTAAAGCCACGGGTAAGCTCCAAATTCAGACTACTTAAAACAAAGAAAATCTCTAAATTCAGACTGGTAAATAATGTGAACGAATGCAGACTGGTGTATTAGCTTGGCAAGGTGCAGGGAATTAGCTTTATTTTGAGGAGTGGCATGCTTTTATCTGTCTTTCATTTTGCTATCTGCATTGGTCTTCTTGTCAACTATCTTACCTCTTTGTAATTTTATTGTCTCTTTATGAAAAATGCAGACTAGCACAGTTCAAATCGTAGCATACCAATTTGAACTGTACTGTAATTATTCAAGTAACTTGATGTCCATTAGTACATTCATAGCAAATGAATAACTACACTCCAGATTGGAGGATAGGCTCAAGCCGCTCAACACAACAGATCATCTAAAGATAATACCAAAATTCATTATTTCACTTGGCCTTAGATTTTGGGTATTCATGACTTGGTACGCTAAATCATAGAAAAACCTGAAGACTTTTCAGCATGAATGCAAGGGTTCATATGAAACGAAAATTATGCTAATGTTTACCTCGCCTCAAAGCTTTTCCCTTCAGAGCCCATTATGGCACATAGGCTGCAAATGATCCATGGTGGAAGATATGCGTCCTTAATTTCAACACTTGAGCAGAGACCAGCTGATGAGCTTTTAATGGATCCATCATCATTAATGATGGATCCTTTATTGGGAGCAACAATATGGTCCGGTCTTTTCAATTCCATGCATTTAACCTGCAAAACAAGGTTAGAATAAAAAATTCCATTTATATATATTTCAGAGAAAATTCAACATAATGAAAAGGCAAGTTAGCATATTCATGACAAAACGGGGGGAATTGTTCTCTGCACAGGTCTGGGATCTCTTTTAGGTAAAAACATAGGCCCAGTAAGTCATTATCTATGATACGGTGAAAGCTATAAATCATGCCTTGACTCTAATAGTTACTAATAGCATTGGCAGTGGCAAGCATGAAGCTCCACCCAAAAGCACATACTCAAACAGATATAGAATTCAGTTTTATGGCAACAAGACATGCCGACTTAGTATGCTGTTTTACGGCAACAAGACATGCTGACTTAGTATGCTACAGTCTCCGTGGCATAACAATTAATGTTATTAAGGAACCACAAACATTTTCACACCTACCTCTGGAGAAGAAATTGCAGCATTCTGAAATGGCACAGGTGAATATAATACAGGAACATCTATTCCCATCAAGACAGTCAAGAAAGATCTGAATTGTAAACAGAAGAAAGCAAGATCAAATGAGAAGATAATACATACCAAATAAGTGTTTAATCAGTTTAGCCAGATACATGGAATTTGAAAACCAAGTGGCTGAGGTTACAACAGAGTTATCTTTTTACAATTACATACCTATAATTTAACAAAATATCGAACAGACCATGTACGTTCGTATTGCCACTGAAAACAAGCAATGATTCCGGAGTATTATCTATATCAGACAAGGAACTTGAGCGCCGAGTCTGCAAAATTTGCAATGGAGGCACAAATAAGTTAAGCAGATAAAGGATCTTTAAAACATGTTAACCTGGAAATGGCACAAGTAGACGTGACAAATGCATATGGTTTGGCATGCGTGATCATCCTTTCCAACCAATATCTTTAAAAAGATAATAGTGGAATGATACAAACCTCATTATCAAGTGTAAGACTGTTTGTCCAAAAAAATAGTGTAAGACTCTCAGACTACTCTTTTCTTGTTCTCTGAAACTATCGAAAGTTTTTATATTATCAAGTGGTGGATAAGAACAGCCAACTGCTGCCCAGTATAGGTGACTCAGTAGAACAATCGAGCAACTAATCTTCACCATATCCCACAAAAAGTAGAGAAAGGTATTTCATGACCTCACCAGGCCTGAAATAAAATAAGCAAAACAAGAACAAAGAGTGATATGTGGGAAAGAAAAAACAGATATTAACCTGGCTGAAATTCTGCTTCTCCATCTCTGAGAGCTCAATAAGAACTTCTTGAGCGACTTGCTCTACCTTAGAACGGCAAAGAGGCATAGAGAAACAAACATCCTGATGCCAATATTGTACAGTGAAAAAACGTAAGACACATAGAAAAAAATGGACAAAGAAAGCAGTACAAGGTCCATACTCAGCTGATACACAAAAAACAGACAACAAAGACAAGGTTACACACAACAGTAGAAGGACCATCATCAGCCTGAAACATAACATTTAAAGAACAAAAAGGCAAACATAACAAGAGAACTGCAAACATTTATACAATTAAGATGAGTACACTTCTAAAAAATAATAATAATACTTGCAACTTACATGCTCTCTTAACAATGATCTCAAGGCTCCTGTTGACTGTGAAATATAAGCATTGTTGAAGCGTTTTGAGCCACCAGCGACATCAGAACCAGTGAACATCACCACAAAATATGGAGTACACACTATAAGATTTGTAAATGAAAACAGAAATCAGTGTGGAGTTCATATGGAAAAAATAAAGAGGGTTTAGGGCATAAGACTCCACAAAGTAAAGTTTATGCCTTCTTGAAGCTACATCAATGAAATAAGACATTCTTGTTTTGTGTATGATGATTTATAGTTATATGCAAAAGCTAACATAAAAAAAGATTTAGCACAGACTGAAAAATGGGGAGAAATTAATCCTTGTATGTTACATAAGGCATGATTCATTAATTGTATCCCCACTCTTAGAAGAAGGCTAGGAGCCTTGCAATAGAGGAACAATTGTACATCAATAAATAATAAATTAAGAGAGTTCAAAGAGTAATACATATATAAACACACATAAAAGTGGCTTGAAAAAACACAATATATGGGCATAGGTAATTACCGTAAAAGATATTACAGATCCCATTGCGAAGCATGTAGTAAAGACTTTGAAATGAGTCCTCCCACGCTACCTGTCGTTTTCTTAAGAATTCCATTTCCGCTGCAAAAGTAAAAGTAAAACTACTGATAATAAGACAATTTCAGGAAAATAAAGAAAGGGGAAAAATCAAAACAGTTTGCAAAAAAAAATATTATTTGGCGCACCTCCCTCAGCTGTTGATGAGGTCAACACTTGTATAAGAGAAGGTGGTAGGGTAGATTGAGGGTAAACCCATGAATGTAGAAGTTTAGAACTAATGACTTGGGAAGTTGATGTGAGCCCTGAGCTGTGGCTCCTATTTTGATCCTCATAAGAATTAGACTGGAACTTGAGATAAGGCATAGTAGTGTAGGCTCCACACGTTACTGACCTATGAATCCTGAAAATGCAAAATGAATGAACTAATTACAAACATCCTGCCAACTATGACCAATGAAAAACTAATGGAAATAAGCAATGCATTAGCACAAAATGGGTGTAGCAGGTGAATAGAATGTGCAAGAGACACCCTCTAAACAAAATGAAATGACTAGTTTTCTCATGTCTGCACTGTCCATATATATATATTACTACTTTACTAATGAAAAACTAATGTATGGATAGAAATA